TATAAAAATTATGTATTTATATTCTGTATACAATAAAGCAATGCTAGGGTTATTTCACTGGACACATTATTAGCTACAGCAGAAAAAATAATTATTTAACTCTATAATAATTTTTATATAAGATTTAAGGCTTTGGGAAATTATTTATATATTTTATTGAGTTCCAGGTATACAAAATAGACTATTGATATGTCAGGAATGATTATCTTTTATATGCCTTTTTACATTGAAAACTGAAATATCTCTAATATAATTAATACAACATCCAAATAAAAATTCTCAAAGAAAAGAAGAAATGTCTGATATGATTGTCTCTTTACTCCCAGCTGTGACTTAGATGAAGTAGGGAGAGATCATGTGACCAGATAGTTGACCTTGTCATCTCACCTACTACCTCTTGTTTGGGCAATGACTGCACACCAGACCCTAGAGCAGACTGAGCACTGAGAGCATAGCAAACTTGAATAGGCTTCATGGCAACCTTCTCACGTGGCCTTGAGTTTCCTTACTGCTGTGCTGGGTTGGGTCCTTTCAAATCAGGAGGTTAGAATATGGAAAGTGCACCTCATGCTCTGTAAATTGCTGTCATGTTATCACAACCAAAGAGTTAATTGTGAAAATGCCAACCTACAGATAGTCATCTCCAAGTAGGGACCTGCGGCGGGTGTCACAAGTTGGGGCACCAGAGAGGGATCAAACTCTGAACCTATGAAATGTGAACTAACTCTGGGACACTGGTGTCAGAATCGAGTCAAATGACTGTGAACATAGTCTCAGTGTCAGGACTGGTTTCCAGGATTGGAAATGCTTTGGGACATGAATTACATGACACTTTATGTAATTTACCAACTAGATAAAGCTTCACAAAGCGGAGGTTAATTAATGTAGCTTTTTCAAATTTAAAAATGGTCGGACAATTTTCTTTTCTAAGCAAGCTGGACATCTACAGTCCCTTTCTTTCCTTACTAATAACAGTAGAAGGTAACTGCTTTGAAATTTTCTTTATTAATGTGACATGCATGTACTTATTGAGCAACAAAATGCTTGTGCATTTAATGAGTTGCAATAGCCCTATAAACTTTTAAATGGTCACAGGAAAATTATGTAGAGTTTGCTGGCTTTACATAAATCTCATTAAATAATATCATCTTATGACTTTCCTAGCCTGTATATAAACATTCTAACTCCCCATTATTTTGAGGATGATAAATACTAGACACAAAGTAACACGATTAGAATGGAATTATTATCTGAAAAAAACTATCATTACCACACAAAGAGAGAGAGACACACACACACAATGCACATTCTACAACTAAAGAAACACAAATCTCAAGTTGAATTAATATAAACCTTTCTTTGTAGGTTTTCTTTTTTTAACCTGTTAGAAATTTCAACAAATACAAATGGTTTTCTGAAACGGAACTACTACCTATAGTAGAGATTGTGAACCTCTTTCCTTGTCATGCACAGGGATTTCTAACAGATCAAGATTGCTGTTCCTAGAAAACTTCCCGGAGGAGCCGGAGATCCTGTACTTCTAGCCTTCCTGAGCTTGGATGCCCTTTGGCATTCTGGGCTATTAGATTTCAGATCCCAGAATCCAGGTTGCTAATGCAGATTTCAGTCTTTGGGCTGTTTCCTTTGCTGCCCCAAAAGCCGCACTTGCAAAGTTCTGAGCCCTTTCTTAGCAGCTCTACTTCTGGTCTATAGAGGCATATTTGTTTATATTGTTCTTGTCATCTTTCTGTGCCATCGGAGATCGTAGTTTCAGTGTGCACTCAATATTCAGATTCCATTACACCTCCACATTAAACCAATAGAAATTCACATATTAGGAACTCAATAAAATTGGAATGAAGTAAGGTACTTTTGCTCACACCTTTTCTTTTTTATCAGAGTTACAAATTTTGTAGCAGATAGCATACTGACATAGTTTACAATGTAGAAGATAATTATTAAATGTATGGTGCAGTCTATAGTAAGATGGTTCCACTGAGTTGTTGGGCAGGAGAACAGCCTCCTCTTTGAGCCTTTTAGGTTAAAAGCACAGGGAAGGCACAGGCTCTTGGTGAGTTCTGGCTGCTAAGAAGAGTATACTTCCATTTATATGTTTTAAGTTAAATGTGTCTTCCCATGGTCATATGGTGAAGCCCCAATCCCCTGTGTTAATTAAGAATAATTGAGGCCGGATGGGTAAGGTCTTAATCAGGTATGACTAGCTTTCTCACAGGAAAGAAAGACCACTGGGGGAAAATATGAAATGGTCTTGTGCAAGCTAGGAAGAGAGCCTGCTGGCTTTGAGATCAGGACTGTCAGTATCAAAGAGAAAAAAAAAAAGGTGTCTTCTAAAGCTTCTCCATCTTGAGCACTTTATTATGTAAGCCTGGACTGACTGACATGCATGCTATTCCTCTCATTTGGTCTGGTTTTCCCCTACATTCCAACCCCTAGTCTTCTCCAGCAGTGTGATATAGGAGGCTCCCGAAGGCCACATACAATACAGGGCAAGAGGGTCATTTGTATACAGTGTATACAGTCTCTCAATTGATCTCTTTTATTCCTATCTTCATGCAGACTCCCCCATTTGATTGACTGAGTAATTTCCAAACCTTTGAAAGATAATTACCAACGTAATGAAAGGGTTGTCATTTGTTTGTTTTTTCCATTAAAAATTTGATTTATTGCATTTTATTTGTTTTTGTTTATTTGTACAAAAGTAATTAGCAATTGTCATTCTGCTAATAGATTCTCCAAATAGTGTGGACATCATTAGTTTTGGATTTCAATTTTGTTCATTGAGAGTTTGCATCTTTTCCAGTTCCTTAAATAATTTCTGAGTGATAATTCAGGTTAAATGTATTTCCATGCATACGTCTGGTACTTGGTCAACTAAAAACTTAGTTGCTATGGTAGCACAAGTCACAGTGATAAGTACTGGGCTTTCTTGTGTTTTTAGTGGTCATGTGCATATTAATTTTGTTTTGTAGCCAGGAGAAAACCCAGGGACTTTTTTGTCTTCATTTCTTCCTCACTACAGCCTTGGGATTTCTAACAAAGAACCATACATTATTTTTTGAGAAGATATTTTATTTCTTTACATTTTAGGGGTTTGCCACAAGCCTTTCTGCGTTTGAGTCCTAATTCTCTGCTCTAATTCTACTTGTCATCCATGGTGATTGAATCATCAAATTACTTGCCCAGAATCAAATGACACAAAAATAAAGATGGTTTTATGCTTTCTGATAAGGGTGTGAGATTTTCAAAACCACTTGAAAATTGGGTAATTTCAAAAGTACATCAAATGTTTTCATATAGCATCCAATGCCAAATATTTAAGCCAATGAAATAAAAAGTTAATTTACTATCTAAAATATCATGAATTCTACCAATAGAATACAAAATTTAATTGCAGAAACTTATTATGCCACAAAATAGCACCAATCACTAATCATATTACAGTTAAAGTTTCAGGGATGAATGGATGATTCCATAATTAAAGGCACTACAAAATACCTAGGATGCATTCTCAGTACCCATGTTGGATAGCTCACAACTGCCTGGAACTCCAGCCCTAGGGGACTTGAGGCCTCTTCTAGCCTCTGCAGACACATCTACACACACACACACACACACACACACACACACACACACACACACACACGAGAGAGAGAGAGAGAGAGAGAGAGAGAGAGAGAGAGAGAGAGAGACTTAGTTACTGTTCTATTGCTATGATGAAATGACATGACCAAGGCACATGCAAAGGAAAACGTTGAACTGGGGCTTGCTTACAGTTTCAGAAGATGAATCCATGACCACCTTGGCAGGGATCATGGTGGCAGACAGGTACTGGAGCAGTTACTGAAAGCTTACATCCTGGCAAAAGCCAGAGAGGGATGGGGCCTGGCATATGCTTTCGAAACTTCAAAGCCCACCACCCAGTGACACAGCTTCTCTAATAAGATCAAACTTACTCCAATAAGGCCACACCTCCTAAACCTTTTTTAACAGTCCACCAGGTAGGAACCAAACATTGAAATCTGTGAGCTTCTGAGGATCAGTTTTATTCTAACATACATACACGCACACGCACACACGCATACACACACATATACGCCAATAAAACATTGTTCATTTGTTTCTAAATGAAGCTAGTCAAGCTTAGAATGGGATCATATTATGCAGCCTTATTAGCCATTAACTCAAGACCACCACAACATCTCCTTTGTTTCTTCACCTGGGTGAGTCTAAATCTGAAACAGTACTTCTAGTACTTTACACTAAATGTATTTATTAATAAAAAATAATGTTTATCATGTAATAACATTATATTTTAATTATTTGATTATACATTAATAAAATGTGCTTTTCCTTATAGAATTTGATAAATAGGGGTTTCAAAACATACAAGAAGCTGAACAAGCCTATAATCCCAGCACACAAGAGATCAAGGCAAGAATTCTGAGATAGCCTGGGTAGCCGAGGAAGATTTAAAAACAAGCACAGACCTACAAGGTCTGGGTGCAATTTAGTGGACAATACTTGATATTTTGAGTGAGGAACTGGGACCCATCCCCAGTAACACAAAATAAAGAATTAAATAAACAGATAGATACTTGAAAGAGCTAAAAATAACAGATATTTATTTTTGTACATTGTATACTGATAATATATTCTTCATAAAAACCTCTGGATAATAATATTAAAGGTGCATTTTCTTTTTACTTTTGATTAACTTAGATAATCAGGATGTTTTTACTTTTAGAACTAAATTATGGATGGGCGGTGGTGGCGCACGCCTTTAATCCCAACACTTGGGAGGCAGAGGCAGGCAGGCAGATCTCTGGGAGCTCGAGGCCAGCCTGGTCTACAAGAGCTAGTTCCGGGACGGGCACCAAAGCTACAGAGAAACCCTGTATAGAAACCCCCCCCCCCCAAAAAAAACCTAAATTATATCTTCACAATTCTTTTGGAAAAATATTCACTGGTTTTGTACTTACCCACAATGTCCTTCATAAGGCCTACAATAGTCTCATCCCCTGTAATCCAAGGACGTTTTCCGAAATCATGACCATAAGCTCCCCTGAAATTGAAAAGGGACATAAACATTTCTTAGTTGTGTAGTGATGGCAGATTTTGTTTTCAAATATTAGCAAGTAAGATACTTCTGTGTGTAAAGTTTTAGTCTAGAGGTAACATGTCTTGCACTGGCTCATGTAATAGAACACGTGTTTTTTAGTTGCTGGTCCTGTTTTGGGAGGTAATAGAACCTGTAGGAGGCAGAGCTTAGCAGGAGGAAGAAGGTAATTCAGGGGTAAACCTGAGGTTCACAGGCCAGTCCTACTTTGTTTCCTAATGTGCCCAGATGTGACCAACAGCCTGGTGTTCCTGTCACAAGAGATGAAAGCTGCAGTCACTGTCTCGTGTTCCCTGCTATGATGGCCTGCATCCTCAAACCATGACTTATAACCAGTCTTGGCCTCTTAAAGTTCATTCTGCTCAGGCAGTTGACACAGTGACAAGGCAGGTAACCAACACACGTGCCTTTGCCAGGTTTAACCAATCATGTTAAAGTCAAGCTTTTTTTAAAATCAAGAAGTGGTACCTGGATACTATATGATTAAGAATTATCATTGTTTTATTGCTTATAATTTTTTTTACTGTTGTGGATGGAAAATTATCCATGTGATATTTGATTTTTTAAAACATTTTCCAGCCTAAGATACTATTTTTTCTTTATTTTGAAATTTTCAAGACTGTTGGGACACTCTACTTATTCACTTAGAGCGTACAGCAGTATCTACACAAAAATATATATACTATCTTATTTTTGGAGGTCAAAATCTATTAAGATAAAAATACATAAAATAACTTTACTTGTGATAATATTTTATACAAGTAGCAAAATTTAATAACAGCATAACCAACACTCCATGTCCCTATCTTCTACTACATATTGACCTTCCATATTCCAGCTCAATTTTATTACTGTAACAAATTTCTTAGCAGCTTTTTTTTTAAAAAGAATATCATAAAATACAAAACAGTGCTTCAGTATCAAGAAATTTCCATCAAATGAGGAAGAATAATACACATGAAAATGCAGAGGAGATTGAATAGAAGCATTTGTACAAGGAGCTTCTAGAGGGCTGTTGACTACTCATGCTCTCCATAACTCTGAAATGGGTTGGTCTTAGCTTGGTGCCTTGTAGACTAGGAAATAAGACTACTGCATGTGCCTTCTATTCTAAGGGAAGTCAAGGTTTATGCCCACCTATTGAAATTTTTAATCCACCTATAGTGAGTGGGGATGCCTTCACATTTGATACCATGCTACAGAAAACAACAACAGAAAATGCATTCTAAATATCAGACAGTTGGCTTTTTATCATATAATATGAATTCACTTCAGGTCTCTGCTGGAGGGAAACCTCTTTTGTTAGGCGTTTCCAGGGGCTAATTTTCCACATCTGTAAAAGTAAATAAAAGAGTGATGATATGTTCTTTAAAGGGTGGGCAGGAAGAGTAAATGAGATAGCATATATATTCCCTTGCTGACTCATCTCTTCTAATGTAAATCGAATGCTAAACTGCCTTCACCAACATGTGGTACATAACAGGAATCTTTAAACTAATATTTCCATTACCATATAAACCGAGATGAAGGAGGAGGTCTTTCTGTGTGAATAAACATAGGCTGCTAGGAACTAGGAGGAAGGAAAGGGCAATTCAATCGCTAGTTATTATTATTCATATTATTATTAGATAGCCTGCAGCTTGCCTCGCTGGACTCCCAATATAAATGTTAAAGACAAAAATCGTTATCATTAAATGGTAGTTAAAGGCAGATACTTGGATCCTTTTTTATTTTAATCACATAGAGCTCCCTGGCCTTTGCTGATAGCACAATATATCTTATTACATCGGGGTAGTAAAATTCTATGTTCTGCCTCAGAGAATTTATATCGCAGAATATTATGCCACCTACTTCTCACTCTGGTAGACACCATGGTAATAATCTTTAGGGATATGTTTCTCCCTCCAAGGCTTTTGGCATCTCCCTCTCTTTAAAATATTACACACTAAGACTACTTCCTCATTTTGTCAAGCCACTAGCCTGGGGCAGTGAAATGTGTTTAGAACATTTTATCCAAATAAACCCAAAGTAAAGTGTCCTGTCATTAGGAAGAATTGATGGAGATTAAAGCGTGGTTATAAACATGTGTGTTAGAGTTAAGAAAGTTACTAGATTGCTTTCATTCAAAGTTGCTTAAAATAAGCCGAAGACAGCTGCAATCCTTTACAAATGTTGAGAAAGAAATATGAAGAGTTAACCGATACCACAATATTAATCATTACCAGGAGTGGGGTGTTTTGTAATGTGGCTATGTGCAATATTTGCTCATGAAATTAGAGGATACAACAACTTCTTAATTAAGAAGTTAATAGAAACTTGGATTCCCTTTAAAATAGGACCATATTTTACCCATCCCCCGAAATGAGAAGTGGCCTTATTTTAGAAAGCTTTCCCTGTCAGCAAATAAGTAAATTTCCACAGCCTTTCTTAATGAAGGCTTATCCATGACCCAATCGATGACTAGCTAACAATGCTGAGATCGGTATTTTCATATTCATGTGTTCCTTTTCATTTAAAGGAAGAAATTCATAACTGAATAAAAGCTGTTATAGGTGTCTTCAGATGAAAACTTCCCTGGTTTACTTCATCACTGCACTGTCCACAAACGCATTGCCATGTAAATCATTCTGTCAGCCAGCTGGAATGTTCCTGAAGTATAAATGAATGGAACTTTCCCTCTTTATTTTACCTGAACTGTCAATGTTTTGCCAAAGTCCCAATGATATTGTAACAATAGTAGAGATTACTCATGTGAAAAGCAGAAGGCAATGTCTATCTAGCCGATTTAAGAATACAGATGACTTAAATACTATGGCCTTAGGTTCTGTCTTTGCAATGCAACACATATTTCTCAACGTACAATATACTCAGGATTAATGATTTTTTTTTGCCTTCTAACTAAAGTTTATCATTATGCTAATTAACATATTACTCTCTTTAAAATAATGCAATCTGTCTTAGGGTTTCTTCTATTGCTCTGAAGAGACAGTATGACCATGGCAACTCTTATAAGGAAAACATTTAATTGAGAGTGCTCTCTTACAGTTTTAGAGGATCAGTTTATTATCATCATGGTAGGGAGCATGGTAGCACGTAGGCAGATGTGCTGCTGCTGGAGGAGCTGAGTCCTACATCTTGCAGGCAACAGGAAGTTGATTTCCTGTCGTACTGAGTGAAGCTTGAGCAACAGAGACCTCAAAGCCCACCCACACAGTGATTTATTTCCTCTAACAAGGCCACACCTTCTAAGAGCACCATTCCCTTTGGTGACCATTTTCTTTCAAACCACCACACCGACCATTAGTAAATATTTAATATAAAACAGTCCCCCAAATCTTGTAAGCAGATAGCCTATCCTTGCTCACACATGTGGTGTTGAAGAACATTATTATTCTCTACTATTATAGGATATTTTTCTTCATTTTTTGAGACAATATCTTGCTCTATATCCAAAGGTATCCTCAGATACTCAATTCTCCTGCTTCAGCATGCTGAGTGATGAGACACTAGGTTCATGATGTAGAAACTTTACGTGGATAATTATTACACAGCAAATGAGATTATTTATGTTACAACTTTCCTATTTCACAATGATAGAATTGACTAAATAATTTCATTTGACAGAACACATACATTAAATTAAACTAAATTAAAAATGATCAGATCTACTTTAGAAATTTCATAAATGAAAATCAAATTATAAAATAACTATAAAAAGGATTGTTTTCTAAGAGATCAAAGCTCCTATTAAACTTTGGTGGGGGGATGCAAATCTTTTAAATACATAGAAATTGTAGAACTAGAGACTAGATATAATTCTTCAGAAGTAATAAGTTAAAAAGTAAATCATCAGTATGTCTGTATTAAAAGGGGCAGCACTTGAACTACTGCTTCCTGAACAACCTTCTTAAGGCTGCAACCTTTAAAAATAGTTCCTCATTCATATTAGACTAGTTATATTAGTCATCTAATTCATATTAGACTTCTCTCTCTTCCTAAATGAGTAGCCCTGCTGAAATTGAGAGGAGGCCCGTGGGACTCACTGAGCAGTGCACCCTCTCCTAGCCGCCTCATCATCCTGCCCTCTTTCTGTTTAAGCCCCTTCGAAGCCTCCAGAGTAGCAGCTGAATGATGTACTGGCTCCCGCACTCCTGTTGTATAGGATGTTGACACTTTTTTACCCTAAACTCCTTACCATCGAACACGTATCTATAAGTCGTCCTCTGCGCTCTGTGAATTCCATTTTTAAAATTTGCGAGCCACTGACTCAGCAGACGTTTTGTGTGACCATGAGTTTCTGGCGCTCCAACATCACCATCAAAGCCCACCTGAGGCGAGCGAGAAAGCGTCCACAGCATTCAAAGGCCTCCCACTTCCTACCATCTCAATACCATTTGTGGACTACTCTAATGGACTCCGCAGCATGTACAGAGATACTTGTATACCTGTGTTCATTGTTATGCCATAGAAAAGGACCCATGCTAGATTTCTATCAAGAGATAAAGATAATGAAAAGGTGGTGCGTACATGCAAAAGAACTTTACTCAGCTATAAAGAAAATGAGATTTTGAAATTTTTATTAAAATGAGGAATCTGGAAATCATTATATTATATGAAATTGCTCAGACTCAGAAAGAGAAATAGTGTACTTTCTCTATCATATACGAACATGAATGTGGCTATAGCGGATAACATGTTTGGAGTGTAGACTAGTGTAAGATAATACATAAACTTTGAAAGGTGCACGGAATGACACGAGTCAGAGAGCAGGAAGTCAGGGGAGGTAAGTAGAGGAAGGGGAATCAACAAAACTAAACTCTATATGAAGATTCCAGAGTGAAATATCACGTTATATTTTAATTTTTTAAAGGAAAATAAGTAATGAAGCTTGTAGTTTTTTTTTGACTGAGAATCTTCTGTTGGACAAATGAAAGAGGCACAGATGTGGCTTGAGCCTCACAGCAGAAATGGGTCTGGAGGATACAGAGAGAGCAGCATTGCATCCCTTAAAAGCTTACCACACTACTGGGGAGTCCCTGACCTAGAGTCAAATGCCACAACGAGATTAGCATAGAAACCAGAACAGTCCTCAGAAAGAGAACTGAAAAGACTGAGAGGCTACCACAATGTGTGCACACAGAGCAACTTAAAAACAAACAAGCAAACAAAAACAAGTCAAAGAAACAAACAATAAAAACCAGCTGAACTTGAGTAAAAGGCTCCTTAAGGTAAGGCTATCACAGACTCAAACGCAGAAAGACAAAGTCAGTTACCTAATGTTCTTCCTGGAAGCATCCATCCCAGAATACTCACTAACTTCAGCACAGCTGTGCAAGATCCCGCAGTCCCTCCTGTTTCCCATGAACCACTACGGCTATCCCTCACACACAGCTTTTCAACCGGTTACTCTGGTAAGAAAACCTTCCTGTGTGCTCGTCCAACCTGCCTTCTTTCAAGAATCTCTCAGGCTGTCAGAAAGTTTGGAACTAAGTTGATAAGAAAAAAAAAAAAAAAGATTCTTTCCTACAGAGTCTCATACGGAAAAGGCTAGGAGTGAGGCCTCAAATTGAATATTTTGGGAACAAAAACAAATAAAAACTGTTTTTGGATCAAAGATGTGTGGGCCAGGGAGGAAGGAAAGGAAGAATCACTGCACATCTGAAACCCTGCAGCTATTTAGGAGCTAGCAGGGCCCCAAGGTTGCCAGGGTCTCCAAGGGCTGAGAGAAAGGGCACATAAGGCAATCAAAGCAAAAGTGGGCGGATCTTTTTTTGCCTAGAAAAGGCCTTCAATTCAGTTTTCATTGCCTTCAGCCTTCAAGTGCACTCCTCTGCGAGTCGTTTGTCTAATGAGCAATAGGAGAATTTAACTAGGGCTCTGGCTTTGTCTGCATTCACAAAGTAAAATATGAAAGAGCAATGCAACAATGGACGATGCTCTGAGAGACAGGCAGCTTCCTGACACAGAATTTTAACATCCCCACCCTCCTCAGCTGCTCCCTCCCTGGTTGGAGGTGTGATGGGGGAATGAATGGGGCAGCAGGGCAGCCGCTTTTAAATACCTAGAGCCTACAAATGCAGAGCCTGGCTGCCTAAGTATTCAAGGGGAAAGACACTTTCAAAAGTGCAGAATCATCCCATTTAACGCCGCTCTCAGACATGAAGGACCAACGTGAATATCAGCCATTTTTATTAACTGTGACCCTCGTTTATTAAATACTAAAACCTGCTAGCCCAAAATGCTTTCAAATGTGGTGATGTGTATTTTGAAACTTCCACATAAAAGCCCGGGCAGGTGAAATTATCACATGCTTAATAAATTATATAAGCATTCCATCATCCCTGAATTAATTTGAGAGCCCTCATTCTTAACCATGAAAACTGAGGACTCTGCAGTGCTACCTGTGAGTCACGGTAGCCTTCCTCACTTAGGGGTGAGAACTAAAGGGCTCCCACAATGACAGAGCACAAAGAAGGTGGAGAGGCTACGAAACACGAAATTTTATGAGTGCCAAATGGCCTACTCCAGAATTTGTATTTAATGTGACTTCATCTTTCTGAAATGTTTTCTGATCATTGAGCGGGACTCATTTCCATAATGATTTCTTTTTGTTTGTTTTCAAATGATCAGAGAAAACATTTAAAAATATTTTGGGGCTGTTTAAAATACTTAAATGTTTACATTTCAGGAATAAGACAAAAAAAATTCAATACTTAACAAATATATCTCATTTCAGTAATTTTATAAGTAATTACTATGGAAAGAAAGAAGATACATAAAAGCAGATTATTTTCCTAAGAACAGGAAAGTAATGAAAATCGATGTCTCTAAATTGTCTCCCCAAGTGGAAATTGTAGAGGGTTAAAAATGAGTATCTGAACTCAGTTAGACAGAAGTAATAAATTCTGGTGTTTTATAAAACGGATGGAGTCATAATTCACAATAAACTGTGATAACTAGATGGGAATCTCAATTACCTTGAGTTAACTGTACATATTATAAACATATATAAAAATATCACAGTGATACACTCATCAATATGCATAACTGTAGGGTGTTAATGAAAAAGTTTTAAATGTTTAAAGAGACGTGTTTGTAATATAGTGACATTTGGCAGGGGTAACGTATGGTTGGGAAGGCTAGTTTACAGAAGAGGGCTCAGGAAGGGAGGAAAGAGGAAGGGTTGGTCATTAGAAGACTACAGAAATACATAGAGCTCTAGGGAGAAAACGGTGCTCTTGTAAGAATTCATATATAGCAAGCCTGGGAATAGAAGTCTTTAAACTGTCTACACAAGAGAAAGTGGTAGGAGCTTTAAAATGCTAAGATCAGACAACACACCTCACTCTGTACATCCATGATTACATGTGACCCTAACCTAATGTCACCTTAACAGGCCTGGATTCCATATTTTTATGTTGTTAACTTAGCCATGAAGAAATCATAAAACACTCAAATTTGTAAATTAACTTCTTTGCTGGTCAGTAAGCATGGGACACAAAATGGCTACACTGATTCAGATGTAGGACAGAGGATCAAATGCTTAAGTATGTTGTGTTACTCTGCCTCCATCACAAATGTGCCATTTGGCCTTAGTCTGACCCTAAATTATTTCCTCAAAATATAGTAATATTTGATAATTATGGTCTCTTAGGTTTTCCTTTATCCTAAAATGCCAGGAGCATAACTTGCCCAACTCAGACACCTTTTGTAATTTTCAAAATTCTTCTGTCAGATACAGAATTATACTTTGAAACATGGTACTTACATTTTGGCCCACTTATCTAACTCTTCTTCCAGGTATGTTTTAACCATTTTTGGTTGAAGGCCAAGAGAATTTCCCAATAAATAGATGGCATTTTCATCCTTATTCACTAAAGATGGATCAACTGAAACAGAAGAAAGTCCAAAAAAAAAAGTGTGCTTATTAAATTAATTAACATTCTTGCACTTGACATTGTAAATCCGCCACAATTAACATAATTAACTGGAGGAAGGATAATAAATAACTTGCAGTTACTCCCACAGAAGCATCGGGTTCTGAACAGTAATTAACCTTTTGTATTTTACGTTAAAACATAACTTAAACCCACAGAGGTGACATGGAGATCTCTCACAGCTATTGTGCTTCAGGAAGAAATCTAAATTAGCAACCATTTCCAAGCACAAATAGCCAAAGGCTTTAGGAAGATTTAAGAACATTTTTTTTTACAGGAAATATGATTGCCTGTCTAATTGTGTTAGCTTTCCACAATTTAGGCAAAGTATACTCTGAATTAATGGATGCCATTATACTGCTATTGGAATTATGCATCTTATGATGTGTCTAGATATATACGCATGTATAGTACAAACATCATAAACTAAAGATTGCACAAATACGTCTTTTTCTCCTTCAGCTAGACCAGAACTTTGCTGTACTTTCCATTTCAGGTTTTAGCCTTGATTGCCAGAAATAAACAAACAATTCCTATGTTTAAGTCTTGCTTAAGACCATGGAGAAAAGAATACATTAATAATAATGGCTACTGGCTTCAATCCCTAGGAACAGAGAAATACAAAGACCAACATCAAAAAACTTGGTTGAATTCATACTTAAGTTGACAATGGCCTCACATTTGTCTGCAATCTCTGCATGTGGTCCATAGCATAGCTGAGTCAGAGGATGTGGCCCAACAGGATGGATGAGCACTCATGTCAGTTTTAGGGGTAGCAATAAGGTATAGTCATCTTCAAGACTTAAGACAGCTTCAACGCCAGGACACATCGGTTCTTAGTAAGGAAAACATTGGAGTTCTTTGCCAAATGCTTTTGAGTCTCCTGTCTTCTGGGCATACGATGACAATATACTTCCTGTGACTGAGTAGGACACACGAGACTCATCCAGGCAAGTCAACTGTGAGCAGGAATGACACGTCATTTCTAAGCTGGATTCTTTTCTTGGCAAAGGGAGGTCATCCAGAGTCTACTTTTCCTCTAGCACCACAACTACTGAGACATGCTATAGATGTATCCTCAAGAGCCTAACAAAGCATCTCTGTAAGGAACAAGCCTGTTGTCCTGGGCCACGGGGACTGTGGGACCTGCTGGATGGCAGCCATTTAGCTTAGTCATTCCCAGCGGACCAAATAAACTTTGAGGTATCACCTGTGATTTAAGGGTGGCTATTCAGAAAGATAAGCTGAGATAGTGTCTACACTAGAGCATCTGAGGAAACACTGTTCACTCAGCGAGTGAATTACTCCATGCTTTTAATTATGATTTATCAAATATATTACATCTTAAAGAATTGCCTCAGGGAGACAGGCACATTATTCTACTGTGAAAAATGTGAATCATATGTAGAAATACATAGAAAATGTCCAAATATGCTATGTTCTGAATGCTTGGATCCCCTCAAAACTCATCAGTTGAAGTACTACTTCCCAGACTGAGGGTATTAGGAAATGAAGACTTTGGAAGCATTGTGAATCAGAAGGGCTTTGCCTTAAAAAAAGTCTAGTCCTTTCCATCACGGGAACACCCAATGAGGAGTCATCTGTGTAAGACAGGGGCCTTCCACACACCAGCTCTGACAACACTTTGATCTGTGAGAAATAATTTTTCTTTGTTTGTTTGTTTGCTTGCTTGCTTGAGACATGATTTCTCTGTGTTCTGTTACTCTCTCCATAGACCAGGCTGGTATTGAACTCACAGAGATCTGCCTGCCTCTGCCTCTTGAGTGCTGGAATAGAGGCATGTGCCATCACGACTGGCGAGATATAAAAATAAATACAACAAACAAATACATTAAAAGTGACTGTAAATAATTTTCTCTTCTCAACTACTGAATCTCCTTGCTGCATCTTTTGAACCTGACACAACAAAACAGGTGTCAATGTTACTCATATATCGAAGCTGAAACTTGTCGGTGGGTGAGTGAGAGCAGCAGTTTGGAACTCTGGATTAGCATGGATATTGCTGGATGCTTTTAATCAATGTACAATGAGAATTAGGACCACATAGCAGAAAGAATAGAAATGTTAGACAAGCTTAGCATTTTCCCAGAGAAGAGCATACAAAAGAAGGAGCCCCACGGAATGCTAAAGAGGTTGGCATCATTAACAAGAAGGCAATTAAATTGGACTGGAATAACAGAGAAGATATGCTGAAGATACTTGAGGACTAAGCAAAGCACACTGTGGTCAAAGAGTGAGCTTATAAACTCATTTGAAAGACTCCCTTGAGAGAAAACTGCTCACACTGGATAGCCTAGGGAAATGTTTTCGCAGGATTAGCTGCCCAAGTATTCTGAAATAACTGAGCCATGGTTTAAATGAGGTGCGTGTGGGTGTCCAAAGGAGGGTGACTGCTTGAGCTGGAGGCTGACTTTGTTACCATCTAGGAGGTGTTGGTTTTGCAAGCACATAAAAAGCAAGAATTACAGGGTAATGTAAGCTTCCATCCAGACTTTAAAAGAAAACCTAGGAGGCCAGGCACTGTAGAAGAGAGTCAGGATCTCGGTGAGAAATATTTGGCAGGGCAATGTTGGAAGCTAAAGACACAATGGAGACCCCAGGAAGTTAGCGATTCCAGAAAAGTTGAATTTTTGCCAAGCAAAGCTGCTTTGGATCTAGCTGAGACAGAAGCCAAGCAGAGCGCAGCTTGCAGGTAGCAATGTCCATAGGAATAAGGCCACTCACACTCTTGGAGTTTTGAATTATGACAGTACTAATCCTGAATACTGGATGCACAATTACTAACCTCTTTGGGAAGGAGAGACGTGGGGAGTCTTACTATGTAGCCTAGGTTGGTCTCCAAACTCCAATTACCCTGCTTCAACTTCTGAAGTGCAGGAATTATGGGTATGCAGTCATGTCTTCTGATAGCTATGTTCATTAAGCCTTCCCCTCTTGAGTTTTGGTTTTAACCTTGGTCCATCCCTCCTGTCTATAAACCCCGCGACCTTTTTTCTCTTTCAGAATAGAAATATGCACTGACTGTTGTTGTACCTTGGAGGAATACAACTCCCCCCGGCCCCCACCGCAACCCCTTTTATCATTTTATTGGAGTTCACTGTTGAGAATTTGCCTTTAGTTTCAGGAGAATTTGGATTTGAGCTTTAGAAAGCTGCTGTAGCTGTGGAGGAATTGAAGAGTCCTGGAGACATACTAAACTCATTTTGCCTTATGAGATGGACACGTGCCTTGGGGGTCAAGGGTAGGCTTTTGAGGTGTGTTTAGGAAATGTCCCTGGGCTCATGTGTTAGCCTTTGAGCCCTGCTGGTGGTGTTATTTCGGGACATGGTGGAAACTTCAGAAGTGGAATGCAAGCTTAGGGAAGTAGTAATTGGATCATGTTTTGGAGGCTATGCCTTGTTCCAGTTTCTCCCTGTCTCTTCGTCTGTTTCCAGGGCACGATTAGGTCAGTATCCTTATTTCTCCAAGCCCATTTACCATGATGTCCTCCCTCAGCATGGTTCAGGCAAGGTCAGGAGGTTAATCGTGCATTGGAACCTTTGAAAATCTGAGCAGAGAGTGAATCTTCTTGAAGTCACTTTTTCCAGATATTTTGTCACTGTGAGAAAAATTTTAAGTTATATAACTGCAGACATTAAGAAGGTGTCTCCCTGAGGGGTTGGGAACAGATAAAGATACGGGGAAGGAACTAGTAGGATATGAGAAAGGGGAAAAATAAATTTATTTATTTATTTTTTTTAAAAAGAAGGTCCTTCCCCTAAGTATGTTCGGGGACTGGGGAGGAGATAGGTTGGGAGAAAGGTCTCCTGTCACTGAGGCCTATGACCAATGGCATAGGGTCTGGGAGAGGAGTGCAGAGGAGAGAAGAGTTACTTACAGATCAGAGTTGAGAGGGTCTTCAAAGCTTACAAACCGTAGCAGGGTGCGGGGGGAGGGGATTCCAAAATGAAGGTGACAAAACTTGCTATCAAATCTTATGCTAGAAAATTTGATCCTGCTTTAGAAATGAAATTATATCCATTCTAATAATCTGACCAAGAATAGAATATTAATGGCTTAGAACTGTATAAAATAAAATAATACTTTTCTTCAAATTGAACTGAACTAATTTTCTTCCTTCCTTGTAGTATCCTGGGAATTGAATCCAAGGCCTTGTACATGTTACCCAAGCACTTTACTACCAAGCAATATTTATAACATGATCTTCCATCCCTTAACTCTAATTTATTTTATAGTCAGATCATACAGAAAAATCAAAAGTGAATTTCATTTTATTTTTATCACATTATTGCCCTTTAAGCAAATTTCATCAGTGAATCATTTATTCACCTGGAAGATATTACCTGCAGGTTCAGCCCTCAAAGTATTACAGTTCTCTCTCTCTCTCTCTCTCTCTCTCTCTCTCTCTCTCTCTCTCTCTTCCTTTTCTTAATATTTCCAGAAAGATTTATTTACTTGGGGTCATAAGGTCAGAAATTTGAGGAGCATGGAGACATGAGTTGAGTTGAGGAAGAAACTTATCTACGTTCATACATAACTTATTGTACAAAACTTCTCAGGATCTTACCATGAGTATCAGCATCTGTGATAGTTGTGAAGGACATGGCATCAAATAGTATCAATAAAATGACTGTGTGGGTGTTCATATGGTTTTCAGATAGAAGCTGTACTGAATTCAGCATGTCTATTTGCTGTGGGATAATCTTGTATGCTGTGATATGTATTCCTCTCATTGGTTGATAAAAAAGCTGATTTGGCCAATAGCAAAGCAGCATAAGGCTAGGTAAGAAAGTGAAACTGCAAATACAGAAAGAAAGGAGGAGTCGGAGAGGCAGAGACGAGTCAATTTCAGGGGAAGCAAGATGCAGGAGGACAGGTAAGCCATGTTGCAAAATACAGATTAATAGAAATGGGTTAATTTAAGTTATAAG